ACAGAGTGTTGGACCGGATGGGCCATTGGCCTGACCCAACATGGCTTCTCTTATGTTCTTATGTCTGGGGCAGCGATGCTCTTTCTTCTTGGAGCTTGGGGGGCACAGGGGGAGGGCTTCTGGAGTTCTGGCTCTGCTGGCGGACCCCCTGATGGCCCCTGGGTTTGGGCCACTGTGTGACACAGAGTGTTGGACTGGACGGGCCACTGGCCTGATCCAACATGGCTTCTCTTATGTTCTTAAGAGGCAAGCCCAGTAGCACCTTAAATACTGACAAGATACCCAGGGTGTAAACTCTGGAAGGTCAAAGCTCCCTTCGTCAGATAGGGACCTCCATTCCTTCTTGTATCGGACAAAGGGAGCTTTGAGTCTCAAACGTTTCCGCCCTGAAAATCTTGTTGGGCTTTTAGGTGCTGCTGGACTCGAACCGTGCTGGTCCATGCCTTTGTCTCACGTTGCGCTCAGATACGGCGCCGGTTTGAGCACAGGGACATGGGGAAGCCCACCAAGAGGGCCCCGCAGCCCCGCAGGGCAGCTCCTTTCCTCACCGTTCCTCTCGGCTTTGGCCCCCTCCTCGTCCTTCCGGGCCGTGCAGTGGTAGCCCTTCTTCATCAGCAAGTTGCAGAAGAGGATGCCCAGGAGACCCATCACGCAGAAGACAGGCACGATGGCAAGGACGGCGTACTGGGTGGCGTTCTCTTCCGGCTTCCCTTCCCGGGTGGCATTCAGTGGCGGCTTGCCGTCCCGCCTGTGCGAGGCCTCGGCGTTCCGAGCCAGACGTGTCAGCCACTTCCGGGACCCTGGTGGGAGGAAAGGAAGACTTTGAACACAAATTGGGGATGAGAAGGAGGAGGAGGAGGAGATTGGATGTATACCCCGCCCTTCTTGGAGTCTCAGAGCGGAGCCAGTTTGGTGTAGTGGTTAAGTGCGTGGACTCTAATCTGGGAGAACCGGGTTTGTTTCCACACTCCTCCACTTGCACCTGGCTGGATGGCCTTGGGCAAGCCACAGTTCTGTCAGAGCTGTCCTTGAAAAAGAGCCATTTCTGTCAGAGCTCTCTCAGCCCCACCTACCTCACAGGGTGTCTGTTGTGGGGAGGGGAAGGGAAAGGAGTTTGTAACCGGCTCTGAGACACTTTTGGGTAGTGAAGGGCGGGGTAGAAATCAATTCTTCTCTTCTC